CCAGAGATGCAAAGACAAAAATAAAAGTTTACTGCCAGAATCCTCAATTGCTCTATCCCCCGAGTCTTTTTATGTCTCTCTTACCAACACAACCTATATAAAAAATAAGTAACTAGTGACTAGTATGGCATGGCCCCATGAATCGACCCCAGTTCATCACTGAAACCACAACGGTTGGATCATTTGCTGATGCTGCACTTGAACACAGCAGGGCTGTCCTCCAACGGACCACAGCAACAGGATAGCACTGTTGACTTGATACCCAGCAGCGACTCAGATCTCTTCATTTGCCTGCAGCTCCCAGCTGTCATCTTTCAAGGGACAAGCAAACAGAATGGCATCTCCCCTCCTCCTAGTTCCAGCTTGCAAAAACAAGTAAAAGCAACAGGCACTCTCAGCTTAACTTGGTTATTCCGACAGTTCCTGAAAAGATTCTTCAGTTCTATCCACTGCAGTGCTTTAATGAAAACACCGAGTTGATTTCCTAAGTTAAAATGATGAAACTCTATACTGTGTCCTATAAATGTTCCAACAATACACTTCAATCTACAGCTATGATGCTCACGTACTAGATGTTGTGGCTAGCAGGAGATTCACAAATGCATCATCACGTATTCAGGTCATCACCTTTGATGCAGGGTTTCTATTCCAAAATCCCTACAATCTAACAAAGCAAGAGAAAGAGGGAATACAAGGGGTATATTCTCCATTTTATGAATGGGGAACTAAGGTATACCCAAGAAGTACTTAGCTACCTAAATATAACAGCTGGAGTCAGGGGCAGTAAGAAGGCAACAGAAAAATTGGTGAACAGAAGTTACATTCAAATCACAGGGCAGACATGCCCCACAGCATGCCTCAGGATTTTCCTCACACAGCTGTGAAAACTGAGCACCTGGTCAGAGCTTCCCTTTTGTCCTGCAAGCTTTCATTTTCTTCACATGGAAGCCAGGAAACATGAATAGATTTGTGTGTTTGGATCCAGCCCAAGAGGAGCTGGGACACAGCTAAGACACCCACTCGTATCCACCACCTGGAAGATTAATTTACATTTTGCTGTTTAGATACAGACTGAGAAACGTCTTGACTTTCTTGTAATATCTAGGTGCAGTATTTCAAGAGGAATGTCGCTTACGTTCCCATGCAACTAAGTCTTGTATAAAGCTAAGGTTCAGAAGAATAGCAGTCCTGCTCCAATAACCGCAGCGGTATTTTCTTCTCTTTCATTAATCACAGGCAGGTACCTAAGACCTTACACCCTGCATATGATCCAGTTACTTCATCTGGCTGGCTTAAGTTTCATGAATAAGATAAAACAATAAATAGAAAAGCCAAGGACTTGGTTCCTTATTTCCAAGTGACTGTTAGTAGCAACCCTAACAGTGCTGGACACAGATGTACAGGTAAGAAATGCCCATCTTCAGGCATTTCATCTTTTGCAGTTTCTCTTCTATACAGTTTGCAAACGGCAATGACACTCATACCTGGCTTAGGAGCTGGCAAATAAACAAAATAAGCAGCTAGTTTTCAAATATTTCCTCTGTTTTGTCTTCTAATTTTACACTGTTGGTCCCAAGATACTCACTTTGTATTTCATATCCTGTTTCATGAGTAAAGGGAACTCCTCTCTAGGGAACTTGACATTTTAGGAGAAGTCAGGTTCCTTTATCTTTGGCTCACAATGCTGTTACTACAACATGAAGGAACAATGAAGAAAGGGAAGGAGTATCTTCAGGTCACTTAATGGTGTATCTGTAAAAAGGCTGAGCTCATTTCTTCAAAAACAAACGTTCAAACGACAAAATCCAGGATAAACAGAACCTGTGGCATCAGCCTGGCATAAGTTATGACGAGGTTGTCCCCACAGCAGAGAGGGCCCAACTCCAGAGAAGCATGGGGCATGCCAGCAGAGCAAGCAACGTGATTGTCATCAAGGCACTGGTAGTGTGAGTACCATTGGCGCCACAAAATTAAAGTCTCACACACATAGAGATCATTGTTCTCAGAAATAGCTTGAAAAAAGTGAAAAGAGTAAGTTACAAGTTATTTTATCAGTTAAAGCTGTATAACCTTATCTGAGCATTATGTACGCATTTCTGAAGCACTGACCACAAGGACAAAATGGTGCAAGACCAACGCAGTGTAGATTCGCCTTTTCCTTTTTACAGCCAGTGGAATATAAAGAATCACTAAGCTCTACGAGGCCTGACTATAGGCCCCTTTTCACTTAAGTGAAAACTCTGTTGGAACAAGGCAATTCAACCACTGCAGGCAAATGTTAAAAATTAAGGGCAATTTTGGTGTTGAAGGGAACCACTGTCCCGCAACTCTGTAAATACACACTCTGAGGTGTTTAATCATGGCAGGATTTACACCGGTATGCCGTTGCTGTGAAGTAGAAAAGGAAAGAAAGAAGAAATACAACTTTTAACAGCAAAATAAAGTATTGTATTTTACTTCCACTGGAGTTAATGGCAAAACTTCCTGACCCTACTGAAGTCAACTGATTTTATACAAAACAAGATGAATCATTGCAATATCACCTGAAAAAGCACGTAAGTATTACTGATTAAATAGCTTGTATTTAATAGGAAATGTCATTCCATTTCCACTGCTGGAATTTCAAAAAGATTTTAGAAAATATCATCAGCTGTCACAACAGTCATCAGTACCATTTACATTTACAGAAACACTGAGATCAATCCATCTTAAAAAAATATGTAAGAAATGAAAAGTTCTAGCAAAGTTTAGTCATTCCAGTTTTCCTTTAATTGAACTCCAGCATCAGCCTGCAGATCTCATCAGGAGACATTAACAGTGGTCTTGTTAGTTGCTCGTTAGTTAATAAGACAACACTTGAAAGGTGCTCATAACATGCTGCAACACATTTCCTCTTGGCAAGATGTATTTTGATACTGAAGTAATGGAATTAAATGAAATTCACTGCAGTAAAGTGAGAATTCATTCTGCTTCTGCTGTGATCCCATTTCCACTGCAACCAGGTCAACCTATTTAATTCCTTAACTAAGTTAGGCAGGAGGAAAGATTTATTTTTGCACCAGTTTTAGTTCACACACAGTAAATGCAGCCATGTATTACAGCTCCTTATTTGTAAAGTCAAGGAGAAAAGACAAAAGTTTTGCTGCTGGTTCTTTGTAAAATTGCTCTGCTTCTGTTCAGACTTCTGAGTTGCACTGTAGCATGACTCTACTCAGTTGTTTGTAAAATGAATTGCTTTGTGTTCTAATATTTCCATTGTAAAGAAAATCCCTTCCCTGTATTCTTTGTGTATTAAGTAACAATACAAAAATGCTTTTTACCTAATAAAACATTAAAGGAAAAAGGAAATGTCATCCTTGAAAATTTCTACAAACTCACATCTACCATAACAATAGTAGCATCCTGTTCTATGTGGAACATGGTAAATTTTTTCGTTAATAAAGATTACTAGCCAGGTAGATTTGAAACACCACCATTTTTCCTGGCCATTTAATAAAACTCTTCAAATAAGACAGACAAGTATAGGGTTTGTATTTAAAGTGCTCTTTATCTGATGCAGCAAATATTTGGCCGGTATCCTTCTGGTCTCTAAGTAGCACTTCACAGATAATTAAGGGCGAGGTGGGGGAAGCAGAACAAACTGTTCTAAGTTGTAGCTCTTCGTGAAATAGACCTTAGTGCCAGGTGGTACAGTACTACCAGAGCATAAAACAAACCCAGCCTTTGTGTTTGAAATATTACCATGCACACATGTTCTTGCCACAATCTGAAGAGACGGCAGATGTTAGTGCCTGGGATTTGCTATCTCCCGCAGTTAGAAAGCAAGCTCAAGGACTAGGGAACTCACTGAAGGAAAAAGCAGCGATCAAATGAACGCACGGCGAATGTCCGTGGGGCGGCCCCGGCTGGGTCGAGGTGGAAACCTGTCATTGGGACCAGCTCGTCCTGGAAGTGTAGGGTTTGCTCCAGGCAAGGAACTGATTGGGTCAAAATGTGGTCTGAATGGAGGAAACTGGCCTGGTGCTTCTCCTGGGCCAGGAATGAGTGAGTTAATTGGGTCTCCAACATATGGAAGTGTTGGTCTCTCATCATATTCTCCACCAATGATCATTGGGGGATAGATTGGGTTTGATGGAAATGGGTTGGGAGGGAAAGGATTAGGATAGAATGGGTTGGGATGAAAGGGGATTGGATGAGGTGTAGGGGGCAGAAACATCATGTGCCTCCATCTCAGGGCCTCCTTCTTCTGTTTCAACTTTTTCTTGTATAGCTGCAGACAGAAACAAAGGCATTTTAAAGCTCTCTAAGCGCTTTTGTGTTCCAGCTTCAGCAACTGCATTCAGTTTTGCAGCACTTTTACTCAGAAAAGCACTCCTCACCAGTCTCAAAACCCAGAACCGCAACTGCTGCCTGCCAAAGACCAAACACAACATCTTCGCAAGACCCCTAACCCACGATCTGGGCATGCATCATGTAACTTGTTGATGCTGTTTTCTCCTACTCTGACCAAATTCAACATGTGTACACAGAACACCACACTTTTAAAGTCAAATTTAACTCAGAGTTACTGCCTCCCAAAGTCTATGTTTTATCCTCAAATTAGCCCACGGAAACTAATCTCAGAGAGATTATATAAAAAAGCCACCTACTTCTTTCCAGTCTGTGTCACGGGGCCTTGCAATAGGATCTACAAAGAGAAGCAAGAAATTAAGAAGAGCCATCTATTTTATTTTTAAGTAGCATTCATGCCACAGGTGCCCACAGTTTTGTCAGAACTTGCAGAAGAATCAAGAGATGAGAAACACACTTTGGGTCAATACATTTTTCATTAAGAGAATGCATCTTAAAAAATATAAGGCTCTATGACCATTCAATAGGTAATCCACTTGCACACCCATTCCTCGTAAGGCATCATCTCCAGAAGTTACTGAATAAGTAGAGGAATCCCCGAAACGCTGTCCCCATCTTTGACTTCTGACAGCACTTCCCTTGACCACCTTATTTCTTCAATCTCTTGTGAGAAATTATAGCAGGAATATCTCTTCCCTCCACTTCCTAATATCTGCAATAGCCGGTACACCAAGGTAGCCAGAAAAACAGATGAAAACAAGGAAAGTCTGCACCACACAGTGGGAAGAACTATGTGGTCCATCAGTAATGGCTCAGCAGATTGTCATTAGTTTTCATGGCAGAAAACTGTGCATCCACCTGATTTACACCTGACCAACTGTACTGGTTAGCATCAGAAATGACTGCATTTAGTCACAGTAAATTTAAAAGTCAGAAGTGGTTGTCCGAGGAGTCTCATCAAAATCTGTCAGACCCGATCCTTCTGTTCACATGAGAACGTAATTAGAAAAACCATGCGTCTCAACATTACCTCGGAAATCTCGCAGATACATAAACCTCCATAGAAGCTGGTCGTTTGAAGCTGTGTAAAGATCACGGCAAACAGCAGAGAGCGAGATGAGTGAACGGACATCCAGAAGTCTGAAAATCCGAAGCTTGAGTTCAAGAGGAAGGACCACTAACCCAAACACATCTGGCAAGTTCAAAGCTACAAAGTGAAAAAAATAGAAACATTACTTAAGTGGTGGAGAGTTTACTCTATCTCCAAAGACCCTAAAAGAAAGAAAGGACATTATAATCTTTCCCTTAAATCACTTCCCTTTGATGCCTGAGTTACACCACTTTTCTCAGAAAGTACTGACACGTGACTTCTTATAAAACAGATCTCTTGCAACTCTAAGTACGTTTACGGAGTGCACAAAACAGGGCAAATGGCACTTTATACTGACCACTGTCGGCCACTGTAAGCCTAAAAAGACATTCTACACACCTAACTATATTTATAGGTTACAGAACAAAAGAATAGGTAAAGAAAAAGAGACCTGCCCGATTTCATGAGCCCACAAAAAACACATTAAATACAGAGCACACGCTTCACATAAAACCTTCCCGCACTGAAATCTAGAGGGAATTCCATTGAATAGTCTTCAGAATACAAACCTGAGGCCTTTTATGGCAATACTTTAGCAGAGAAAGCCTGGCTTCCTACTGCTCCACAAACACCAGCTTGGGTTACTTCCTACCATCCTTTCCAAGCCCTCAATGACCGGTTACTGAGAAGATCGTTCCTGGGGTTAGACTTCCAAATATGATGCTGTATAAATTTTTCTGCTTTGACAAAGAAATGGATCAAAACTACAGAACTACTGCCACAAAATTACTGTGGTATGACTTTCTCACCACTAAGTGTGGAAAACAGCCACTCCACTTCAGTCTCTTAAGTGAGACTCGAGCAATCAAAAATTAAAACCAGGACATTATCATTATATTAACATTTTCTGAGATACAAAGATTAATATAATTTCTTTAGAATGCATAAATTACTTTATGCTTACTCTTTATACACCCATCACTAAGCAGCTGTTTCTAACACATTTCCTCCAAGGCTTTAGATAGACCCCCTTCCTTCCATCCTCAGAAATGAAGTACCATCTCTAATTGTAAATATGTTCTCTCACCTTGTCGGGCAGCAGCCAGAAGAGAGTAAACCAGCTGGTCTTTAAAGAGACGGGATAATTTCTGAAGGTCTTTGTAAACACCTGCAACTTTTTCTATCAAAGAAGAGAGATAAAAAGCTTAACTTCAGGAGGTTATAATGCAAAAACTGTGTAAGAGCAGAAGAATTATGGTTTTCTTATAAGCAGAACTGTAATCTGCTTGTAATCTTGGTGGGAGCAGCTCTGTAGCTAGAGTGTAACAATCACACCATAAGTAATTCATTGACAAACTACAGACCAGTTCCGTGGTCAGGCTAGGCTTTCCTTTGGCCTTAAAAAGCACCATTAAGAGAAACACCCCAGTTCTTCAGAAACAAACTGACCGTCAAGCTGTCAGAGCTTCCTCTGTCAGATTTCAAAGCTCATGTGTAACATGCACCTACGCTGTAAGTGCTTGCAATATTAATTTTTCTGACAGGAATGTTTTTCCATGCTGTTCTCTAAAGAAACGGGAGCCAGAAGACTCTACCGTTGTATCGGACACGTTTCAGTGCTCAGTTATTCTTCTAAAGCCTTTCGACTAGACTTGTACGTCAGTGACTGGGGCTACCCAGGACACACTGCAGGACACTGTCAGCCTCAACTGCCAACAAAGCAGTTCATACATACTTCAGAGAACAAAAGGCTGGTCAGGTTTGTGCTCACAAGGATCCACATCTATCTGCCCTTCTCTCCTCCCCCGCCTTAGTTTTCCCTCTAATTTTGGCATTGTGTAGAGCTATGTGGTCAGCACATGTTTTCTGGCAAAAAGAACAAAACAAATACAGTGCCACAACAAAAGTGTAGGTACCATCAGCCTCTGAAGTCTTGAGCTGCCAGGCAGAAAGGGGGTATAATCCAGCATTGCTGCCCCAGAGATTCACACATACGCTTAGGACCTCATAAATAACAGGCATATGGGCTAAAGGATGACCCGGGCTTTGCAAGGTTCTTTCCTTACACAGTTAATCCAATACACTTTGCTGTTGAAACAATTTTAATGTGAGTAAATGGCTGCACTCTGAATTCTTTTTACCACAAAGCTATGACTCACCTAAATGGTAACCATATTTTTATTCTTTTTTGCAATTCTTTACCTATTTGGTCCTCTACTGAAGTATATCATTATTCAATGTGTGACTTCCTTACTTTTCAGTTTACTACTATGAGTATCATAGCTCAATCATACCTGGCTCCTGAAAGCAAACGAAGGATGCTGGCAATAGCTGTATTCTCTTAACACCTTTAATCTCTTTGTTGATTTTTAATGTTGCTGCAAATATAACGGGGGGGGGGGGGGAGAAAAGACATTTAAAAATTTAAAACACAATGAGAGATTACAAAGATAACTTCATTACTGCCTGACCCTTCAAAGGTGTTTTACTTTCCTCCCTTACCAGATTTCCTCAAGAAAAATACCCAACTATAGCAAGCAGCTAGACAAATAAAAGTTTCAGAAAAATAAAATGGAACTTAAAATAGCAGGGAATAAACAAAGATCTTGGTGACAGAAACCAAGCATTGCCTTCAACAATTCTATCACGTGGAAAGAGATGTAACACAGCTAAAAGAGGTACACAGCGAGCCATTATTATAACCCAGTCATTCAAAAAAGTATTAACTAGAGAAAGACTCAACAAACTTACTATATGAACACTATATGCATAGTAGTTATAACACTGTCCTAAATCTAACCTTAACCTGACTTGGTTAAAATATTTGGTCAAAATTTGTACACGTTCTGAGAAAACATATGTGCTTATACAAATTGCCATAATCAGTTATAAGTTTTACAAATAAACATGAAAATTTTAATCAAAGATATCTTGAAATTAGAATCAAGTCCCAATTTAATATTGGTTCTGCAAAAATGTGGAATTGCTCAAATGCTAAATAAAATATGAAAGAGAAAGAAAAAAAACCAAAAACAAACAAAAAGGCAAACAAAAAAAACCCGTCAAAAAACCCCACCAAGTGATATGGAAGTTGCTTCAAAAAATTAGACTTCCCTAAATTTTCTGGACTGAATAGCTTAAACTAAATACAATTTTTGAGACCACAGTTAAACTGTTAGTGTGCTACAGGAAAGATTATACATTAAAGCTAAAGAATACATAGTCTGGAAGTTGTTCATAAGTCTTGCAAAGAACATGAGACAAGACAAAATACTGCAGCTGGAGCAAATCTCTCTCTTTTAGTGTTTGGCAATGTATACCAAAGTTCCTATGAAATGAGGCAAGAAACATATTTCTTCAACATTGGAATGAAAAGGCCAGCTGAATCCCCTAAGTATTGTTCTGTTATGATTAGAGGAAGAGAAACAGTTAACATGGAGACAGGGAATGCCAAGAACATTCAGCATCAGGAAGTAGCATCTCTCACACCTCAGCAACCTGGATAGTCAAGGTGCAGTTCTAAACAGAGTGCACAAAAGCACATTTAAGTTTTCTCTCGCTAAACAATGGTGATATTTAGCAATGTGCATCCAGGAGAAAAACTTGACTCACTTACCATTAATAGCAACAAGATCTCCCAAAGGCACACAAGTCAAACCAGCAGAACCTTCTTCACAAAGGGGATGTGTGTACTGTAGCTTATAAACACCATTCCCTCTCCATTTCTCTGGCATAGACACTGCCTTGGCTTCTGTCCCCTAAAAACACACAGAGATAACACTGCCATACTTTAGCAATGTACCAAGACTAAGGGGCGAAAAAAGAGCATTAAAAGTTAGGAACTGCCAGAATGCTGCCTGCAATTCAAGTCTTAGTTTAGTCCCAATGCGCATTATGACACAGACTATAATTGCACGGTGTTGTGGTTTAACCTCAGCCAGCAACTGAGCACCACACAGCCGCTCGCTCACTTCCTCCCCCAGCCCCGGTGGGATGGGGAGGTTATATACTATTTTCCCCAAGACTAACAGCAAATCTAAGGAGAAATTCAGTAATTTTTCGTCCTGTCCCAGTTTCTGACAGGGAAGGTTGTTCAGTGAGCAGGCTCACACCTACTTCTTTCAGACATGTACTTCATTCTGTCATGCATTCCAGCATTCTGATAACTCCTGCATGTATGTTGATTTACTGCATGAAAAACATGTTATTGCACCTTCTCTGTGAACTTATGAGGTCTGACAGGGCTTGAAGAACCACAGCTTGAAATCCATTCAAAAATCTGAGTGGAGTAACAGTTTTTCCTTTCAATTTCAGTGTGAAAAGGCCCAGATGGAATCCCAGAAGGGGACACAACATAATCACAAATACAAGTAGACTATCTCTCTTTCCTCTTAAATCTGCACAGCAATCATCTTCCCTACTTCCAAGCGTACTGATTGACATAAACAAACTTTCTTCCCAGTGGCAAATGTATTCTTCAGATAGTATTTCAGGCTATAGGAATGCAATTAACTTAGCAGATTTATTAAACTGGTATTGGTCAACTGGACACCTAAACTGACCCCCTACAAAAGCTTAGTTAGCCTCATCGCAAGAAAAAACATGAGAATTTAAACACCTTCCCTGAGAGCAAATTTTTTTTCATGTTTAACCACATATTACTAAACATACAATGCAAATCTGAAAATCTAAAGGGAAAAGGTGAATTCATACATTGTACAGAGGTACTGCCATAGGTGTTCCACTACAAGTTAGATACCTCTGTAGATTAGTGGAACCAAAGCCTGACTGAACTCAGTTGAAGTTAATACGGAATTGGAGACAACATTTTGTCAGACCTAGGCCTTGTTAACCACCATGTGAACAGGATACCATTGAGACGATACTGATGCTTAAGGCAGTGCTTCAAAGAAGTGCTACAATCTAAGCACATCTACACAAGCTCAACAGTATAAAGCAGAAACAGGAGGTTATCAGCTGCGTCCCAGTGAGGCTGAGGACTGAGAGAGACACAGGGGCAGGCCTCTTCTCTCACACCTAAAAGCTGCTCCAGTCTTTAGCCTTAAGGCTTACTGGTCAGGCAATTTGGAGAAGCTGATACTTCAGCAGCCTCTGCTGCTGACTGACATATAAAAAGCCAGAAATGGATCTTCAGATGCATCTTGTGTCACACATTTCCACAATATTCCACAGCTTTCTCATACTGACCAAGACATTTCCTGATAGGTTGTGCACCTACCTGAGGTACATAGCCTGTCTCCATCATGAGAAGATGTACTAGAACGATCAAGGCATCAGTGGCACTGGTGCACTCAGCAGACAGGTAGAGCATCTCTAAGGAATGTGGTATTTCACCATCAGCAGCTTCACTGCACAGCATGGGTTCAGAGGGATAGGAACCTCTACCTTCTTCCAGGTCAACATCTTCTGGGACTAATCCAGAAGGAAATTCTAGGCTGGATCCTGCCTTCAAGGGAAAGCGAAACATACCTTCATTCAGAAAACTACACCTCTATATACATCAAAATCATTCATCTGCTTATTCCAGTCCTCACAGGCACCCAGTCTACTCTGCTGATTTCTCATGCAAGTTTTACAGATTCATTACATCTCCATTTTCTAGCATCCCAGCTGGAGAGTGGGATTATACACATAGCCTCTGTATTTTTTTATATTTATAATGCAAGCCCTTCATAAAAGGGTCTGTCATTTGAATGCATATACTACTTGAAGACAAAAGTGGTAATATATTAAATCTTCATCAGAATTTTCGCAACATACACAGGAATAATTTGCTCACTGTAGTACCACCGTTTATTTAAATACAGCCAACATGCATGGCAAGTAACCAAAATGATAACTTGGACTGCTTAGAAACACAATAGGCCCAAATAGCTGGAAAAAAATATCAGCAATGGAGGATATCTGCTGACACTTGAGGAGCACTCAAGTGGCGTGCTCCTCTTCTCCTTGTGGCTTCCTTTCTTCTACCAAAATCACACCGTATTATTACATTAACCGATAAAACTACCCACAGACACATTAAAAAAAAAAAGGTAGTGAATGAAAACTATAAGCCAATTTACCTAAGGGAATGGTCAGGAAAGAGAAAAAAAAAGAGTCTAAAGGAACTGTAGCTACTTCTCCCCCACATCCATGCCCAATGGCACAAGACACCGTTATGTCTGTATGAGGCTGGCATGGCCATCCACCCGTGGAACTTCCCTTCTCTCATTAACAGCAATGGACATAGCCCCAGTTAGACACAGATTTTCAGACTTTTAGAGCTCTTCTACAATGACACGTAGCTGCTTAGAAATTTTCCTGCCACCTTTCACCACAGTTTTGGAGAAAGATGCGAGAATCTTTTATCTTACCTTTGAATATTAAATAAATACGAAACAGATACTTCTGCACAGCTTACTATGGTCTGACTGACAGACATAAGGAGTTTGCATGCCCACAGCACCGTGTAAGGATTATTGCTCCTGACAAGAATCAATGGGACAACAGTTCAACTACATTTTCTTTCATTACTTACAATTCTTTTTATCCTGAATCTTAATTTTCATATGTTAAAACAGTATTTTTAAAAGACCTCATATAAAGGTTGTATTAAGGTACACTTTGTATTTGAAATTTGTTCCAAACCAAAAAAACCTACTTGCTTTGAAAGAATGTTGGAAGATAATTTCCTCCCAGCTTCTCAAGCTCCTGCCTAAAACAGACAGGATCGTGTAACGCGATAGACTGTGGCACTAGGCTGCACCTGCAGTGTCTCCTCTAGGGAGACCATTCACCAGAAGACCCAGCAGTTGGCGGGAGCTGCTATCTGCTTAACCATTCGTATGTACTGTCACACGGGAAACAACCACTGAGTCATATTAAAAAATTGTGCCTATTAGCTGCATGAAGCATACAGGGTCACACAGATGTACACCTACGAAGCATGAGGCAGGAGCTATCTCAGCAACACAACCTCCATGCACAAGACAGACAGGTCTCACTCTATGGCAGGCCGTCTGAATCACAGGGAACTGTTATAACCCATTAGAAAGGAATCGTGCACTCATCTTGTGAGTGGTGTTTCCGACAGGCAGTGCCTGTTGCATTTGTTCAGTACCTAGAAACAGTTTCCTCGAGAAGGTAGCACTGAGGCAGGTAAGAAACACTTTCCTTATGGAAAGTGCATGTTCCAGCAAAAATATTAAATCCTGTAAAAATTTCAAACCTGAAACATCTTAGGGTCTCTGAAGTAGCTTCTGTGTCACAGGTAATATACAATGAATAGAAAAAAGTTTCCATCCAAATAACCGGCTATGTATCAGAGAAGTATAAGGAGCCAAATATTTTGAAAAGATTCTCTATTATATAGTACAGCAACTGACACAACAAGATACCTTCTTTTTTGCCTTGTGCTGTACAGAGCAATTCTCATGTACTTACCCTCTCGTCACCCTTTTGAACTTCCACATGAGCTTTCTGGTTGCCAGATTGCTCATTCGGCCCTTCTTCTTTTGGACTGTTGGCCTGACTTTTGTTGGGAATCAAGGTGGATGGCTCATGACCATTCTCAAGTGGGGGAGGAGTAGAAGGAGGAGGAGGAGGTAGGTTGGGTTGTCCATCTGCTTCTTCTAGTAATAAGCATATCAAATCACCAGAAACAATCCCATATGAAGCTAAGGTCTTCTGATCTTCTGTGAGAGCATCTTTTCTGTTCAATGTTATTGAAAACTCGGTATCAGAACTGCAAAATAGGCAAAAAAAAAGAAACGAAACATGGTTGGCTGCACCTGGGTAACTGCACACAGAGGTATAGTTAGAAATGCATACTGCATACTACAGTAGTACTATGCTGTGGGTTTTAATCCATTAATAATTAGCTATATATTAAAGGAAGAGTGAAGGAAAAAAATATGGTACGAAATTATTTCCCCCACGATTCTCTCCAAGTACGTTTTAAATAGCCGTAGCTGCTTGGTAGGTGTAACTTCGTTTACAGTAATTGCTCATATAACAGTTATGAAGGAAAGCAAACAAGTGCCCTCCATATTAGATGACATCACACCTAGCAAAACAAGCTTTAAATAAACTACTGGCCGAGATTATTTAAAAACAAGATAGCGTTGCAGGCTCAACCGTCTTGCTCTCCAATTAAGCAAAACATTCATTTCAAAAGGTCAGCAGCTGCCCTGCAGCATGCTAGTTGCAAATGAGGGTAATAAGAAAAGATGCTTCAGGACAAGCACTTACAAGATGACATCACACCTAGCAAAACAAGCTTTAAATAAACTACTGGCCGAGATTATTTAAAAACAAGATAGCGTTGCAGGCTCAACCGTCTTGCTCTCCAATTAAGCAAAACATTCATTTCAAAAGGTCAGCAGCTGCCCTGCAGCATGCTAGTTGCAAATGAGGGTAATAAGAAAAGATGCTTCAGGACAAGCACTTAAAAAAAAAAAAAAAACAAATAGAAATGCAACTGGCTAGCACGGGAGCAGCTATCCAGTATCAGCTATAAAACACACCCACTGTGGCAAGACAAGCAGTAACTTCACATTTCTCCTGCCCACACCGCTATGCAGCACAGTGCGCCGCTAGCAAATGTACCTATCACCAGCGAAACGCTACTACATCGTACCTAATTAAAGGTTTGCGAATACAAACCCTTTAGCCACCATCAGAAAATGAGCCCCTTCTGTTGGTATCTCTTAAATCGAGTCTGCAGACTTTGCTCTCCTATAAAGGCTGCCATGAGCTCTTCACAGATAAAACGTTCACGAAATTCAAACCCAGAGGTTCTCTAAGCAGCCTGCAAAACTGGTACAACGACACCCTGCAGCCATTTGCGCAAGGCAAAGGCCACACGGAAACTCCAGTCGGCTCTGACCGAGCTGCAGTCCCGTGTTTCACGGCTGAGCAGTTCCCAACGCCGGTTCTACGTCCCCCGCTCTGTA